CTCGGATTGGTTGGGAAAGTTTCCAGTAGACTAATTGAAGGGATTCCTGGCAGCTCAAGAACTAAAAAGAAGTTCTCAAGAGTACACCCCACACAATACGAAGGGCTAATGTAAAATATTTTTTTTTCTTTGTCAGTGTAAAATGTCATGATGCCATTTCTCAACTTAGGTCTCTGGTCGGGACCCGGAAAGAAATGTGTACACACCAGAATTTAAAGAAATAAAATAATAATAATAATAATAATAATTGATACATGATTTGCGATATGTTATCGTTTAAACCATTATGCATTATGTCACATGAATATTTCAGCTCTTTAACAATGCCTGGCTGGTCCCAAAAGAATCCCTTCTGCTATTGCCACTGATAACCGCTAGTAATTCATAAGTAAGGAATTCGAAAGTCTTCAATAACACGCAACAAACATGAACGTCACATAATTTATCTACAACGGCGGTCTCTACATACAATGGATTTTTCGAAAATGTAATAAAAATGTAATAAAAATAACTTACTTATTCTTTGCTATCCACATATACCACATACACACACACACACGTGTACGTGTAATGCGTGTGTGCTTCAATGGCGAATGTTAAAATGAATATTCCTTCTATAATTTCAACACCTCGGGTAATTAGTGCGAGGTCAGTCCTAGCTACTTCCAATGACACGAATCAATCTCATTACCTCCGTATAAGAAAATATATATATATATATATATATATATATATATAAATAAATAAATATAAACAATTCAACACACTGGTTCCCATTAACAATTTTGTGGGAAACAAATCTCTGCATGGACAATTCACTGAACACTACAATATTTTAATGACAAAAATACGCTGGTGTAAGCTTCAAGAAAATTTATTCAACTGAGAATACAATGTTCACGTATCGTGTCCTTTTATAATCCCAGTAAACAGAAATAGCTCTCTTAAAGAGACAGATTAACAAACAAGGTGACATCACTCTTGATTATTCGTAACATACAGCCAGTACATTTTGACCGTAATCGTTATCAAGGGTTAATTTCTTGAATTTTATTTTAACGAGGTAATCCATTATATTTAACGTATTTTTCAAGTTGAAGTTCGTGTGTATGTACGTATCGAGGTTGTTACGATCCCATGCTGGTTTAAATAACAATTTGTTTTAAATTTAATGAAAACGATTAAATTCAAAACGTTCTATTATTAGAAAATATAATATATAAATAAAGTTCACAATCTAAAGTTTAGAGAGATTAAGAAAACCAGAGACCACGTTTGATTATTCATAACACATCTTAACGTCTTTAAAACAAAAGTAAATCTTATCCTATCCAACTAATTGCCATAATATTCCTACATGCACCATAGCAATTTCAAAACTAAGACTCTGAATTGAGTGTCTCTAAAGACTTCTAATTGGTGAATTTTAGTGGATAAAACATAAGCTGTCTTGTTTTTTCTTGTTTAGCAGACATTTCTTAGACTTATTTGGAAAATGCTATAGTGTCTCTTCTGCTAGAAAGCTGAATAAATGTTTGAACGCTAAATGATTTAAAATAAGCATTCATATTGTATGGGAGAGTGGTAAAGATGTTCAGAAAATAATAAATTCATAAAGAGAATAAATGTGAAGATGGAAGAAATGATTGAAAGAAAGCAGTACGAAAATAGAGACCTAAAGTACGAAAATAAGGCCTTTAAATTTATTTCATGTGAAAATAAACGGCTGTGGATAAAAAGCAAAGAAAAATCGCAAAACGAATATTAACCTCAGAAAAAAAATATATACAGAATCAAATTAATGACGAGAACATAATAAAAAATATATTCCTGTATTCTCGTATACTAATGAATTCTAAGTAGAAAATTCTTGAAATAAATTCAAAGAAAAAAAATAGTGAAAATTTAAATCTGGAAGTAGAATGGATAAAATGTCTTTGTAAAGTAAAATGAAGAAAGAAAGAATGAAATATTATGGATAAAAGACGAGAAAAGTACAGACACTTGAAGAGGAAATAAATTCAGAAAGAAAGAAAGGACTGTTATCAAATCAAAAAGTTAATAAATATAGGAAATAAAGAAATCGAATAAAATACATTTTCAGCGTATAACAGAAAATAAGAAAGAAATAAAGATAGAAGGAAAGAAAAATATTTAAAAAATGAGAGAAAATTAAAAAGAAAGAAAGAAAGAAAAAAAAATAGAAAGAAAGAAAATTCATTAATAATATCGAAAAAGCTCAAATATATAGCAAATAATGAAACCGAAGAAAATACATTTTCAACGAATAACAGTAAAAAGAAGAAAACAAGGACGGAATAAAGTAAGAATAAGATGAATAAAGAAATAAAGAAAGAAAGAAATAAAGGAAGAAAGAAAGAAAAAGAAAGAAAGAAGGAACAGTTATGCGTCATTTGCTTCTGTTGATGATGAGAATTTAGTAGAAGTTTCAATCTAACTAATAAAGTCAAATGTATAGGAAATAATGGAACTGAAGTAAATCCTTTTTCAGCATTTAGCAGAAACATGAAAGGCGGGAAGTAAGGCGGATAGAAATAAAGAAAGAAAGAAAGAGGGAAAGAAAGCGAGAAGGAAGGATAATTCATTGGCATTATCTAAAAGAACGAAATGCATAAAAAATATTTTTTTTTTAAAAGTATAACAAAAAAGAAAGAAAATAAAGAGGAAGAAGAAAGAAAATAAGAAGGAAAGAAAGAAAATCCTTTGATAATGTCTAAAAACCCAATTAGAAAGAAAATAAAGAAACGGAAGAAAATACATATTCCTCATACTACAGAAAAAGAAAAGAAAGAGAGGAAATAAAAAAAAACGAAAGAAAAAGTAAGGAAATATAGACAGAAAGATAGAAAGAAAGAAAATGTATTGATAATATCTAAAAAATGCAAATGCGAAGGAAATAATGAAAGGCAATAAAATATATTTATAACAGAATAGCAGAAAAAGAAATAGTGAAAATAAAGAGAAAAAAAAAAAAAAGATTGAATGAAAGAAAGAAAGAAAGAGGAAATAAAGGAAAGAAAGAAAGAATGAATGAATAAATGATAGAAAGAAAAAAAGAAAGAGAGGAAGTAATAGGAAAACATGAAAGAAAGAGTAAGAAAAAATAGACAGAAAGATAGAAAGAACGAAAATGTATTGATAATATCTAAAAAAACGCAAATGCGAAGGAAATAATGAAAGGCAATAAAATATATTTACAACAGAATAGCAGAAAAGAAAAGAAAATAAAGAAAAAAAAGGAATAAAAGAAAGAAAGAAGGAATAAAAGAAAGAAAGAAGGAATAAAAAAAGAAAGAAGGAATAAAAAAAGAAAGAAAGAAGGAATAAAAAAGAAAAGAAAGAAGGAATAAAAGAAAGAAAGAAAGAAGGAATAAAAGAAAGAAAGAAAGAAGGAATAAAAGAAAGAAAGAAAGAAGGAATAAAAGAAAGAAAGAAAGAAAGAAGGAATAAAAGAAAGAAAGAAAGAAAGAAGGAATAAAAGAAAGAAAGAAAGAAAGAAGGAATAAAAGAAAGAAAGAAAGAAAGAAATAAAAGAAAGAAAGAAAGAAGGAATAAAAGAAAGAAAGAAAGAAGGAATAAAAGAAAGAAAGAAAGAAGGAATAAAAGAAAGAAAAAAAGAAAGAAAGAATGAATGAATGAAAGAAAAAAAATGACAAGGACAGATTGGAAATAGTTACATCTATATCATAATTAAAGATACCGAAGAAAATATATTTTCATTGTACAGCAGATTGAAAAAAAAAAAAAAAAGAAAAGAAAGAAAAACATTTACAGAAGATAGAAAAAAGAAAGAAAAAAACAACGGACAGAAAAAGAATGAAAGACAACATATTAATCACATCCAAAAATTTAAAAAAAAAAAATTTAAAAAAAAAAAAAAAAAGGAAAAAAAAAAAAAAAAAAAAATCATCCACAGGGAAAGCGAAAGGAAAGAAATAACAAAAATATATTTTGCAACTTGAAAAGAAAGTGAATAAAACGAGAATATATTGGTCATAATTTGAAATAAAAAAAGCAACAGAAAAGAAAATTAACACAAAAGTAACAGAAAAGAAAAAGTAACAGAAAAAGTAGCAGAAAAGAAAATGTTACAGAAAAGTAACAGAAAAAGAAAATCACATTTGCAAAAAAGCAAAGAAACAAATAAGAACGAATCAAATAAAAATATAACATATAAATGCAATATAAAATGCACGATATCATCGAAAATTAAATAAAATAAAATTAAGTTGAAAAAAAAATGGGTCGGATATTTTGAGAAAACTGACAAAAAATAGAAAACATAGAATGACGGTAAAAGCTATAAAAATAAAAGAAATTGTAAAAAATATGTCTGGATTATTTGGCGCAAATTAAAAAAAACGTGTATAAAGAAAGAAAAAAAAAAAAAATATAAAAAAAAAAAATAAATTTTAGAAAAAAAAAATCAAATTAAAAATTCACACCCATCCACAAAAAATACTGCCGGTAATAAAAGTAATAAAAGACTGAGACTTAGTTTGCGTCTCCAAAACCTAAAAGAATCTAAAAGCGTAAATTAACCAGAATGTTAGCCATAAAAAAAAAGACATTTGAAAAAAAAATCTAGAAAAATAACAAAAAAAGATTTAAAATAGAACAGTAAATGTAAAAAAAAGTATAAAGGCAAAGAAAATTCAATTGCATCAAAAATTGTTCGAGGTTTTGTGTAACGGCCAATTCCAAATTATGTTTACTCTTTGAGCAGAATTCAATTAACTTCGTTAGTTCCAATTACTTCGTTTGGAAGAAATGAATAAGACAATGCCTCCCTCTCCATGAAAAAATACACAAGAACAAAGAATTAACTTTATAACAATTTCCATTGAGAACGAATGTAATATCGAACAGTTGAAACTACGAGAACGTCGAGGTCAAATGCATGTAGCATTTCGCTGGGCTCTCAAGATGTCACATGGCATCTTAAATAAATAAAGAAAACAAAAAAAAAAACATTGCGATAATCGATATCTATCTGATTGATAATTTTCGTAATAATTACTGCACTTAAAAGATAATAACAGAAACAAATTAGAAAAACTAAAAAATATTCGTCAAGTGTATTGAAATATTTTTTCAGTAGAACACATTTATTAGTGCGATAGGAATAGTTAGTTTCGCCTATCGTACGGTTCATAGTCCAAACCGGATGTTTAGGCGGAAGTAGAGTTTTAACCCTTATTTCCTGTCTAGGCTTGATTTCCGGATCCTTCTAAAGTCTACTTCAACTCTATATTTCTAACTTTTCAACTAAACTCTGATATTTTATTTATTTAATTTTCTCTCAATAGGCGTATATAGGTTCGCATGTAGTCTGGTTCACACAACTTACATATATTTTGAACTGGACTAAAGGTTTATCCCTCATTCCCTGTTTAAGATTGGATTTCCTGTTCTTTCTTATGTCTGCTTCAACTCTCTACTTTAAATGTCTCCGTCTAAACTCTGACATTTTATTTAGGATGTATTTATTTTCTCAATAGGTGTAGACGGATTCGGCTATCGTCTGGTTCACACTTTTCCCATGTCTTTTGTACAGATGTTGTGGCTTATTCCTTGTTTAAGATTGGGTCTCCGGCTCCTTCTAATGTCTACATCAACGATATTGTTCTAACGTCCCCGCCAAAACTCTGAAATTTACTATTTGTTTTTTTTTTCTCAATAGGAGTAGATAAATTCGCCTATCGTCCATTTTCCCACTCCTCCTTGGTCAGATGAATCATTTATAACCATTGATATTAGAATGCGATAATTACTGCTGACTATTTAGATATTAATGAATGTGTTCGGCGCCATGCATGACATTTCTATGGCCATTTTGATCTGTTGAGGCTATTTTAAGAACATAACGCTAGTTTTTAGGTTAATACTTTAGTTTTGTAGCCATGTGTGGTGTTAGGTGAAACTAACCATAGAACAGACTTCTTTTCTATTCAATGTCCTTAACTCTTATACTAGATTTCTTATAACAGATCCATACACCGAGTTATTTGAGATGATTAATATTTCAGTCAGTCAGTGATGTGCCATGCGTGATACACGCTTAGGTGATCATGTATCTTTCGATACATAACTGACGAGGCAGATTTTTTCCCGTAGTAGGTTGCCATTTCTTTCTGCGGTAGACCAGTTGCCATCCAAGGTCTGTCCTGCTATTTACCCATAGTGTGCTTCATTAAATGAACAATAAATCAGTTATATGCCATGCGTGATACACGCTTAGGCGATCATGTATCTTTAGATACATGACTGACGAGGCAGATTTTTTTTTCCGTAGTAGGTTGGTATTTCTTTCTGCGGTAGACCAGTTGCCATCCAAGACTATAGAACCCGGTCTGTCCTGCTATTTACCATGGTGTACTTCATTAAATGAGCAGTCAGTCAGTTATATGCCATGCGTGATACACGCTTAGGCGATCATGTATCTTTAGATACATGACTGACGAGGCAGATTTTTTTTTCCGTAGTAGGTTGGTATTTCTTTCTTCGGTAGATTAGTTGCCATCCAAGGCTATAGAAACCGGTTTGCCCTGCTATTTATCCTTAGCTGACGGGAGAAGAACAGGATTCATACCTTTCCCAATCTATTAATATTAATATTTGCTAATTTCAAATCCTGAATTTTTATTATGGATTTAGGTTATGTGCCATCATTGGATTCATTCAAATTCCACGTTTACCTTGTTTCTATTTTGGAAATATATACCTTGAATTCCATCTCTCGCAATACTTGGTAAGAATCGTTGATTTCCTGCTCAAGATAATAAACCAATTAAGAATCCCTAGTTCCTCGGTATACCTCTCATCATCAGAATAATGGCCTTTTATTAGTTGATACATTTTAGGATGCGGTAGAGAAAGCTTAAAGAATCGGTGCCCATCTCTTCTTATAGTTTTGTGTAAATGCACAAGGCGTTGTAAGGGATAATGTTAAATAGACTGGGTCTCTCATTTCTTCCTTGAAATGTTCCTGTATTAAGTTCCTTGTCAGATATGTCGGATTTTGTAGACCGATAGTGTCCCCCTCTTAGAACTCTACATTCAGTGCATTCGAAACTTGGAAGGCGATTTCTAATCGATGAGAAGACCAGGTCTCTATTGATGGGGTCATATACAATTTTCTATTAGAGAATTATGCAATTTTCTGGAGTGTGTTTATGACATATATGCAATCATTATATCATTTAACAGAACGAAAAAAAATTTGTAACGGTTATCGGCATCGACTTAAAACGCCAACCATGGTCGCTGCTTTTACTTTCAGACAAATCATCTTGGCAAAGTTATAATTCCACCACTTCTCTGCGCCAGGTATAGATTATCTAGCCTTGTTTGGTAACCGGTCTAGGAGAAGGATATATCTCAATTCAAAGCCTTATCCTTCTGGGAAATTCAAATTGTAAAAATCTATTTGCTACATAAACCATACGTTGCGCGCTGAGGATGTGGGCCTATTATCCATAAGTTTGGTTTGGTTTATTTTGTTTTACGGCATATCAACCTGAATGGGTTATTTAATGCCGACAACTTTTTTTGCCTGTTAATATTTTGTTTTGTCAAAAATCTATTTCTGGTAATCTTTTTTTCATCAAAAATGTATAGCTGGTAATATTATTTTCAAAAACGTTTTGCTGGTAATATTTTTTTTTTTTCAAAAATATATTACTGGTAATAGTTTTTTCTTCAAAAAATTATTTCTGGTAATAATATTTTTTAGAAAGTATTTCTGGTATTAAAACCTATTTTTACACTTTTACAATGATTTTCACCTCAGTTTCGGGGTTAACTATTTGCCCATAGCTGGGACCCTAACAGGTGCTACCACCCCGGGTCAGGGTGGCCCTGGAAACACCAGCAATTAAGAGGTGGTTCAACGCTCCTCAAAACCTCCTGATCAGAGGTCTTTGCTGTTGGACGTAGTTTATCGTCTTACCCAGGACCCGGATGTAGTTTATCGTCTTACCCAGGACTCGGATGTAGTTTATCGTCTTACCCAGGACGCGGATGTAGTTTATCGTCATACCCAGGACGGTTTATCCATTAGTGGGGAGCACTTTGATATGTTTATCGTTCATAATTTCTGAATACTCTGTCGGATTTTACGGAAAGATATCGTTATATATACTGGCTTTTCAACCTCCTTAGATACACAGCAACATAATCTTCGGGCTCAAAGCGTAATGTTTAACTTGTTTAACAATGGTTACCGTATAACAAAGCACAGTCGTTGTGTGAACAGCTCCATTTGATTACTGTCTATGTTTTCTTTTTCGATATCCAATTATCCCAGACACTGCCTTACGCCACATTGTCCTTAGCAATTTTCTTCCCGTAAAGTTCATTTTGTTTTTTCTTTTCAACTGCATACTTTGACCTCGGAGCATATTCCCTCTCAACAAATTGCAGTCCCGTGTTTCCTCGTTCAAAACAGAAAATTCCACGCTTGCTTCTTTTGTAGGGCTGTCATTCGGATTACAAAATCACAGTGTATTTATTTTGTGATTCATCGAGTTTTGTTCCTACATTTATTTGAACAATTTATCCTATATTGATTTCATAATTTCAATTGACGCCGTCTCTGTTTAATATTCTTTAAGACATTTTGTCAATCTCATGAAAAATATATATATATATATATATATATATATATATATATATATATATATATTAGAATGAATCATTCACACAAAATGTAAATTAGTAAAGTTAATGATATAAAATGTCGAAATCCTTTCGCTAACAAAATTTTAAAGATGCATTAACCTACCAGTCACTCGATGCATGTTATGATCCTTGTATTATTTTTTTTTAAATTGTAAGCTGCATTAGGACTTTCTTCAATACGTAAGTTCTTTCGACTGTACATTCAATCATCTTCAGGCATGGAAAATATTTTCTGATTGGTAAAATCCAGCAAACCGAAACCAAAAAAAAAAAAA